CCACAGACATAGCAAAACAAGATGAGGACAGAAACAGGGGAGGCTGTTTGGGCTAGAGATTACACATTGAGCAGGCTGGGCTGCATCACAGAGCGGCTGGCACAGCACATTGTATCTTTATAAATTTATTAATTTAGGTATTTCTGCCTGTGCCTTAAGCCTAAGGGTACTTGAATCTATGTTTAGAGATGGTAGTTGAAATTAGTATGTTTTAATTCTAAAAACGAATTTAAAAGAATCACTTGCAACAGGCCAATATTAGAAGATGGAGTTGCAATATCAGGGGTTCAGGGTCTCCACTGAAAATGTTCTATCTAGAAAATGTAACTAAGCTGGCTAAATATATAAGATAAGCAACTGTCAATAATGGTACTAGTTTTCACACAGCTTTCTTGTACCAAGAGAGGAGTCTGTAGTCTAAAGTCATATGCCATTGTTCCTCATGATCAGTGACTGAGGTCACATACTTGCAGTTCTAATAGGAGCAAGATTTTTAAAATTGTGAACCGAAGTAAGAGTTATCTGCCCTGGACCCTAAGTGCAGTTCTGACAGGAACAGGATTTGAAAACATTGTAAGTGGATACATATTTCTTTCTTTCTCTTTTTAAAAACTTTAAAAAATGTGGTCACTCTAGAAAATTTTGAAAATGGAATAAAAGTAAACACAACACCAATAATTTTACACTCTAGAAGTGTGTGTGTATATATATGTGTGTGTGTGTGTATATACACATAGGGGTGTGTGTGTGTGTGTATATATATATATATATTTTTTTTTTTTTGAGACAGAGTTTTGCTCTGTCGCCCAGGCTGGAGTACAATGTCGCCATCTCCACTCACCATAACCTCTGCCTGCACGGGTTCAAGTGATTCTCCTGCCTCAGCCTCCCAAGTAGCTGGGATTACAGGCACATGCCACCACACTTGGCTAATTTTTTGAATTTTGAGTAGAGATGGGGTTTTACCATGTTGGCCAGGCTGGACTTATTTTTTAATCTCCTAATAAAGGAAGTTAGGTTCTAACATTTACAGTCACTAGATTGCTTAATTAACTGATTTAAAGGGAACTGAAGAATAGTCTCCCTATGTTTTCTCCCTTAACCTACAATTATGGGGTCACATTGAATCTATAAATCATTTTGTGGATAACTGACATCTTAATATTCTCAAGTCTCTTGAACCAGGAACAAAGTCTAGCTCGTCCAGCTTACTTGGGGGTTTATAATGCTACATCTTTTTTTTTTTTTTTTTTTTTTTTTTTTATTTTTGAGCCGTGTCTCGCTCTTCGGCCAGGCTGGAGTGCAGTGGCGCGATCTCGGCTCACTGCAAGCTCCGCCTCCCGGGTTCCCGCCATTCTCCTGCCTCAGCTCCAAGTAGCTGGGACTACAGGCGCCGCCACCACGCCCGGCTAATTTTTTTTGTATTTTTAGTAGAGACGGGGGTTTCATTGTGTTAGCGGCAATGGTCTCGATCTCCTGACTCGTGATCCGCCCGTCTCGGCCTCCAAAGTGCTGGGATTACAGGCGTGAGCCACCGCCGCCCGGCTATAATGTACATCTTTAGGCCAGGTGCGGTGGCTCATGCTTGTAATTCCAGTACTTTGGGAGGCCAAAGTGGGCAGATCACTTGAGGTCAGGAGTTCAAGGCCAGCCTGGCCAACATGGTGAAACCCTGTCTCTTCTGAAAATACAAAAACTAGCCAGGCATGATGGTGCATGCCTGTAATCCCAGCTACTTGGGAGGCTGAGGCAGGAGAATTGCTTGAACCCAGAAGGTGGAGGTTGCAGTGAGCTGAGATCACTTTACTGTACGTTCCTTGGGCAACAGAGTGAGACCCTGTCTCCAAAAAAAAGTACATCTTAATTTATCACAGTAGAACTTCAGTTAATTGATTAAACCACTTCATATGTTGTAGAAGAACCTCATACTAGTAGACTTCCATTTCTCTCCTCCTAGCCTTTATGCTATTGTCATATGTTTACTTAAAAAATGTTTTATAAACCCTATAAAACACTTATTTTTGTTTAAACAATATTACTTGTATCTTTTAAAGATATTTCAATAGTTAAAAAATTATGAATTTATCCATGTGTTTATTATTTCCAGCCTCCTCATTCTTTTGTGTAGATCAGTTTTATATCTGATTTCATTTTCTTCTGCCTGGGCTTTGAACATTTCTTGTAATTCAGGTCTGCTGGTGATGAATTAATTCCTTCATTTGTTTTAATGTAAGCTTTTGTTTCTTGCCTTCATTTTTGAAATATATTTTTACTGGGTATAAGATTTTAGGTTGGCAGTATATCTTTCAGTACTTCAGAGATGCTGCTTTACAGTCTTCTTACTTGCATAGTTTCCAGTGAGAAATTCACTGTTGTCCTTGCTTTTGCTCCTTTGCACATATCTTTCTTCCTCTGACTACTTTTAGGATTTTGTTCTTTAGCACTGATTTTGAGCAATTTATGATGTTCCTTTGTATAGGTTTCTTCGTGTTTCTTTTGCTTGAGGTTCATTGAGCTTCTTCTTGAGGTTCATTGAGCTATGGGTTTATGATTTTCCTCAAATTTGGAAAATTTTTGGCCATTTCAAATCTCTGCCCTCCCCCCCCCAACCAGGGATTCCAATTAAACTTATTTTAAGCTTCCCAAAGGCATCCCTCAGTTCACTGTTGCTCTTTTCATTTGGGGGAATTCCTTTCTCTGTTTCATTTCAGATAGTTTCTGTAGCTATTATCTTCATGTTTACTCATCTTTTCCTCTGCCATGTCTAATGGGATTACTGCTGGCAACAGACACTGCAGTTTTCATCAGTAGAAATTTTATTTAGATCTTTTTAATATCGTCCATGTCTCTGCTTAACTTCTTGAACATATGAAATACAGTCACCACTGTTTTAATGTCCTTGTCTGCAAAGTCTAACAACTGTGTCTGTTCTGGGTCACCTTTGATTGGTTGATAATTCTCAATTTGAATTGTGTTTATCTTTTTGCACATCTGATCACCTTTGGATGCAGACATTGTGATTTTTACCATGTTGGGTGCTTAATATTTTATATTCCTATACATATTCTTGACCTTTGTTTTAAGATGCAGCTAGCTACCTGGAAACCTCATTCCTTTGGGGTCTTGCTTTCATGATTCTTTGGCAGGTCTAGATCACTAGGCAGTGATTTATCTAGGTTTAACCCACTACTAAGAGACCTTTCTTAGTTTTCCACCTAATGCCCTGTAAATTACGTGTTTTTCCAATCTGACTAGTAGAAACAGGCATTATTTCTAGCCCTCTCTGAGTGTCGGGCACTGTTCTCTAAGCCTTTCAGGTGGCTTTTCCCCCTCCAACTATGGGTAGTTTCTTCATCCCCATGCTCTGATCCATACTTTGCTGAATACTCAAGGAGGACCCTCTCTGTGTCTCTGGAGTTGTTTCTTGTGCTGCCCTTCCCCTCTGATACTCCGTCTTGCAAAGTCTGGTCAGACCGTCAGCTCTGTCTCCTCCACTTAGGGCGTCTGTCAGGTTCCACCTGGTTCCTCCTCTCTGCACTGAAGCCTGGAGAGTCTCAAGGCAGGACACTGATCAGTCATGTGGCTCACCTCTTTTGTTTCCTGTCTCTCAGGGACCACTTTTCTTCATTGCCTAACATCCAGTGATATGAAAACTAGCATTTGGTATATTTTGTCTGACTTTTTTTCAGTTGTTAGTAGTAATGGTAAACCCAGTCCCTGACACTCTCTCTTGAGTAGAAGCAGAAGTCTTCTGACACTAGATTTTAATGGCGTGCTGACTCGTTTGTGTCTGCCTTTGAGGGAGAGGGTCCAGTGTACTGATGAAGAGCATGGACCCTGGAGTCAGACCAACTCAAACCTCTTCTCCACCACTTCCCAGCCATATGATCTAGGCCAGATGAACCTTTCTGTGACTCCCTTCCCTCGTCATAAAATGGGGCGGATAACCGTTGTGCCACATAGGATTTTTGAAAAAACAAAATGAGATAATTTAAAGTATAACACAGTTCCTGGAAAGCGGTAACATGTTCAGTACATCTTAGCTATTACTGTCATTTTATTTTAATTCATGTAAGACCTTAATAAACACTTCTCAAATGAATGAATGCCTGCTTTTGGCCCCCGGTACCACAAAGGGGGTAGGTGCCTTAGGGCCTGGGATCCCTCAGTGGTGGGGGAGCTGGGGACATGAGTCTGTGCTCCCAGAATGATGATGCATCCGTGAGACTCAACTCGTCACCCTCAGTTGCTATCATTCTGAGGATTTTCATCTCAGTAACAGACTGGGTTATTTGCTTATTTTTTAGGGGAAGACAGGAAGACCCCCAGCGAATCAAATAGCCCCTCTTCATCCTCCCTCTCAGCTCTGAGTGATTCGGCCAACAGCAAAGATGATTCAGATGGCTCCCAGAAAAACAAGGGTGGGAACAACCTGCTGGTCATCTCTGTCATGCCTGGGAGCCAGCCCTCACTGAACAGTGAGGAAAAACCAGAGAAAGGTAAGGAGGAGCTGGGTGTGAGCCTGCTCAACCCTCTGCACCCAGGATGACTTATTCTTGAGAATAAGCCCTGGACAGGAGCAATGTCAGAAACTGATAATAGGCCCAGGATGCAGTATACTGGGCCTCACCTAAAGTTTGCATTTCTTTTGGCTTAATTTGCATTCGAGTATGGGGTGGAAGGATGGGGAGGGTGACATTGATTCTGATGTTTGTACATTTAACTCCTTTTTGCACGGAGATATGGGGAACAGTGCCTGGAAGGGTATAGTTGTCAGGCGTCTGAAGAGGTGCGAGGAAGGGGGAGCTTGGCTCCACTCCTGCCCTCCTCTCCCCGCTGCCCTGTGCACCTCTATACCCAGCTTCGGTCCTTGCAGGGTTCGAATGCGTTTTTTGCAACTTTGTCTGCAAGACGAAGAACATGTTTGAGCGTCATCTGCAGATACACCTCATCACCCGGATGTTTGAGTGTGACGTGTGCCATAAGTTCATGAAGACCCCCGAACAGCTGCTGGAGCATAAGAAATGCCACACTGTCCCCACCGGTGGGCTCAAGTAAGGAAAGCAAGTACAGAACCTTTTACTGCGTTGTTATTAAATACCCTTTCCCCTTCCCTACCCTGTCCCTTCCCGTGAAGGTTTTGGGAGTCATGGAGAAGGGAAGCTTGGTATGAGGGGAGTTAGTCAGGAACCCCTGCTGCCTTTAGCTGGATTGAATTAGCCCTGTCCCCCTAGGGTGTCAACAGATGTCAGTAGAAGAATCCATTTTGTAAATATCCCGGGATTCAGAGCAAGAAAAAAGACACGTTGGAACAACCCAGCTTGCAAGAACAGACTCCTCCTACACTGCCTGAGTTTTGTTCAGACTTAATTTTGATGGACTCAGGGCTTAGTGTCCCCAAGCATAAATCATACTGTCACCGAGACTCACCATCTCTGTTTCTCCGATGGCTTCCTACATATCCTTTAAGTAAGCATTACAACCACCCCCTCCTCCAAAATTGGACAGTTTGAACAGGCAGGAGGCAACATTTTTCATGAAAAGATCATGTGCTTCATGGTCCTCCTGCAAACATACTGATGTCTTCTTCCCAAGATCTAGACAACGAGCATCATCTTTAACCAGTATTTTCAAGAGGCTCTTTGGTCTCAAGTGAAACCAATCAATTAATATCAAACACACTGTGTGTCTGGCTTGATAATAGGTGCTAATGGGCACACAGGAATAAAACACCATTTCCACCCTCAAGAAATGTATGTCCTAGTACTGCCTAATCTGCACGGTGAAATCAGAGTCCCTGTTCACAAGGCACTTAGGGTCTGGTACAGAGAAAGCAGCACAGGTAGGAGGACACAGAAAGACACAGTTTTCAAGGCATAATTACTAATTCTCAGCTAAACGATCATGTTGAATGAAAAATTACATTTACTTAACACGAGGGGGAAAAAACCTTTTGTTTTAAAACATGTTCATCATTGAAACTCGCAACCCGCCAGAGAGGTGGCATGACTCCCCCAGATGGCTGAGGAAGGGAGAGATGGAAAGGACCCTGGGAGTGGAGTGTTGGGGGCAGTGCAGGCTGGGTCCCCCCAGGCCCCTGCCTCCTCAAAAACTCCCCCACACAGGAGAATCAGGGAAGAACAGGACCTACCGTTGAACTCCATTTTGTTTCACTCATGGGGGTGCTTCGAAGGGAGGGGGAGGGGAGGGCAGAAGGGATTGGGGAGGGGGTGATTATAATTCAAGGAAACCAGTAGATGGAAAATGCCTAGCGAGAGCTTATTTGGGGATGTGATTTGGTTTGTTCCCACTGTCCCTTTATAAATATTTGTGTGCTCTCATTTTAAAAAGAAACACCAGAACCATGTTTTTCTATGGTTGGACCAGTGCTCACTGCCCTTCCCAGTAGCCCAATCACACCCATGAACGTCGCAGCCCCTGCCAGTTGTGGCTTTGCCAGTTCGCCTTTCCTCAGGGACCTCCAAAGTCCCAAGCCTCTGAAGCCATTGGGGAGAATGCACAGTGAACTCTGATGCTTTTGCTGGTACAGACACTACCCGTGCGGTGCTAACCGTCCCCTGTGTAATAGTTTATGTTCTAGGATGACCAAGTAGAAGAATACTTTGAAAAAATTGATAATGCCTTCTGGCTATACAGTGAGTCTTTGTTTTGTTTTGTTTTGTTTCCTTTGCCATATCAGAGAATTAATTTGCCTGAGAGAGTGTCTTTAAGAAAATAACGGGAGCACGGAAAACCCTTAGCACTTTGCCTGAGCAGTGAAAGAAAGATTGAGCTGTGGGTCACAGAAATGTCCTTAAAATGAAACAGACTGCTGATGTCTAAATTGCTTTTCTGTGATGGAACTGCTTGTACTCTATATCCTGTTCATAATGCAGATCAAATAAGATTATACTATTATTTTTCTTTTGCCGTAGCTCAGGACAGTGGTGAGTTTCAGACTCCTCTAGGTAAGGCCCAGCTTGGCGTAGGGGTTGTGTGTGCACCTGACCTGGGAATGGGCTTTATATTTCTCTCGTGTGCACTCTTCTGTGAGCTGAGGTTCAAAGGCTAACGGCGAGCTTGGCGCTGAGGAGGCCGTGCACGGTGCACTTGGTTGTGTTGGGCTCTGCTGAACACCTCTCCAGACCCTCCGAGGACAGTCCACTCCTGGGCCCTGCCCTGCAGGAGCCAAGCAAGAGCTGAGGCAGCCACTTTTGCATTTGCATTCTTTGTGGAAAGAGAGCAAACACGCTACAGTTCTCATATATGCCACTGACTCCAGCCTGGCAGCTTCTAAAAGAGAAGCTCAGCGGAGTTTGTTAACATGGCCTCACCACTCCTCGTGGCCCCTCTGGACAGCCAGGAGGGTTGGTGGTAGCATAGCCTCACTGCAAAGGATGGAGAAACTGAGCCACAGAGAGGCCCAGGCTAGGGTATCCAGCTCCAGCCTGACAAGGTGATGGAGATGGGACCAGCATCCGCCCTTCCAGAATCTACCTAAATTGCCTGTAGAGACCACTCAAATAATGAACCAGTATGTCCTGAGTGCTTACCATGTGCTGACTACTCTACCAAGCACTGCAGAGAATGCAGAGGAAATGTAAGATACGGTCCTGCCCTCTGAGAATTTCCAATCCAGTTGGATTATTATCCTGTCTCCAGCATAATCATGTATTAATAATGTCTTTGAGCTCCAGATAGCAGTTGTCTCCCTCCTTCCTCCCTTCCTCATTAGCAGATGGGCCGTTGGGTGGGCTTCCTTCTCCTCCCATGCCCCTGCCATAGTCCTCAGCTTCCTTTCCTGACAAAGAGCCAGTCCTGCAGGGAGATATGTTTTACGAGTACATAGATATGTACACACGCACACACTCACACAGAGATACACACACAGGCCTTCTCATCCTAACAACCCCTTAATAAGCACGATTCTGACCCCTGTGACTTTCTGTTTGCTGGAGGTAGCGCTCCCCCTATAAGCTGTTCTTTAAAACCTCTTAGCCTTTCTGCGTGTGCTTGGTGTGGTGCATGAAAAGTCGATTCTTTGTGTTGCTCCCATCTAGAGGGGAGGTCAGGAGGTTTAGACCTCTGCGCTGTCTGGTCGGGAGTGGGGAGGGCTCCGAGGGGCCGGGCGGGGGCTGGAGGGGAGCACCAGCAAATTGATTCCTGGCACTTTCTCTGCTCCCCTTGGTGAGGGCTGGCCTTGCCTGTATCGGCCGGGAGACCCAGAATAGGCTGAGCGGAACTCGCCAGAGCTGCTTGTCAGCGGGGACTGCTCTGTCAGCAGGGAGAGCCAAAAAGGGCCGTTCCACCCCTGAGAGGCGGCAAGGGCTGGGCTGGGCTGGGCAGGTCAGGCCTCAGACACTGGGGGTGGTGTGAGGGAAGGCTGGTGAGGCGGGGAGAAGCGCGGCTGCCTCCGAACCTCTCTGGCTGAACCTGCCTTGCGTTGCTTCCCCCGGCAGGTGCCCATTCTGCATTTATTCCACCAACCGCCCCGCTGCCATGGAGTGCCACCTCAAGACCCACTACAAGATGGAGTACAAGTGCCGGATCTGCCAGACGGTGAAGGCCAACCAGCTGGAGCTGGAGACGCACACCCGGGAGCACCGCCTGGGCAACCACTACAAGTGCGACCAGTGCGGCTACCTGTCCAAGACCGCCAACAAGCTCATCGAGCACGTGCGCGTCCACACCGGGGAGCGGCCCTTCCACTGTGACCAGTGCAGCTACAGCTGCAAGCGCAAGGACAATCTCAACCTGCACAAGAAGCTGAAGCACGCCCCACGCCAGACCTTCAGCTGCGAAGAGTGCCTGTTCAAGACCACACACCCTTTCGTCTTCAGCCGCCACGTCAAGAAGCACCAGAGTGGGGACAGCCCCGAGGAGGACAAGAAGGGCCTGTGTCCAGCCCCCAAGGAACCGGCCGGCCCGGGGGCCCCGCTCCTGGTGGTCGGGAGCTCCCGGAATCTCCTGTCTCCCCTGTCGGTTATGTCCGCTTCCCAGGCTCTGCAGACCGTGGCCCTGACAGCAGCCCACGGCAGCAGCTCAGAGCCCAACCTGGCACTCAAGGCTTTGGCCTTCAACGGCTCCCCTTTGCGCTTTGACAAGTACCGGAACTCAGATTTTGCCCATCTCATTCCCTTGACAATGTTATACCCCAAGAACCACTTGGATCTCACATTCCACCCTCCCCGACCTCAGACTGCGCCTCCCAGCATCCCCTCACCCAAACACTCCTTCCTCGCCTATCTCGGACTGAGAGAAAGAGCAGAGACTGTCTGAGGGCAGCCATGTTCTGTACCAAAAACAAAGAGACAAAAGACAAAAAAAAAAACCCCACAAAACTTAAACACAACCCCAGCAGGTGTATGTTGCTGCAAAACCTACAGACCCCCATGGGTCTGAAACATGTGTACTGTATATCTTTAGTAAGGAATAGAGAATTGGCTCTGTGTGTATACCTATTGCATTGACCTGAAAGCTGCTTTATCCAATCTTCAGAGAGGTGACCTACTGCATACTTCTACCTTCAGAGGCATGCCTCCCCAGCCACCCACTCCCACTCTCAGCCCTTCTCCGTACTTTTCTCTGAAAGGAATCTTGTCTTGTTAAACCCTAAAGAGAGTGTCCTTAATAGCAATCAGCACTTGTAAGCTTATATACTGGTGCATTTGGTTTTCTGTTGGGTGAATGTGGTGTGTGGGCGTTTGTGGATTCTGAAAGAGAAAGCCGTGTGTCGTGTGCCATGACATTTCTATTGCACATTCTTTGTACTGGCTTCTTTAACAGCGATGAACATTCTTTTCCCTCCTGGGTTGTTCATCCACGACAGTCTCTCCCTGTGCTCCTTCATCATCTTTCCCTCTCTCTTTGACGGCTACAGAGTGGTAGGGCCTGGTGCTTAGTCGATGAAGGAATGGTAGACATCTACAGTGCTGCTGGAGATTTCCACCAGAGCGCTGGAGACCTTGTACTCAGATCTTCTCTGGCGATGAAGAGACGAGGAATCAAGTCACTGATCTGGAAGAAATATCTTGCAGCACTGCAGCAAACATCACAGAACTTAAGTGTGTTTTGTGTGTGTGCCCACACATAGACAAATGTGTACGGTGCACACACACAGTGCATCATTTTTTAAGGGCAGATTATATATATATATATGATGTATTAATTCAGTGGTTACCATTTGTTTGCAGGAAAAAGAAATGTATGAGTGAAAAAAAGTTATGGTTGATAAATCCAGCCAAGGAGATTAAAAGGGGTTTGGATAAATTCTGGGTATAAATGCTCAGACTAAAAAAAAGAAACGGCAGTTTTGCACAGTGCTGTGGTCTTGCACTAGTTTTTGTTTCTCATCTGAAAAAAGTAAAAAGGAAGAAAATGTACCTTTTTTTATGGAATGAGTAGACTGTATGTTTGAAGATTTAGCCACAACCTCTTTGACATATAATGACGCAACAAAAAGGTGCTGTTTAGTCCTATGGTTCAGTTTATGCCCCTGACAAGTTTCCATTGCGTTTTGCCGGTCTTCTGGCTATATCGCGGTATCCTCCATGTTATTAGTAATTCTGTATTCCATTTTGTTAACGCCTGGTAGATGTAACCTGCTAGGAGGCTAACTTTATACTTATTTAAAAGCTCTTATTTTGTGGTCATTAAAATGGCAATTTATGTGCAGCACTTTATTGCAGCAGGAAGCAGGTGTGGGTTGGTTGTAAAGCCCTTTGCTAATCTTAAAAAGTAATGGGTGATTTAAAAAGAAAAAAGGAAAAAATCTTTGGCTGAATATGCTCATTGCTTGTATTTTTAAAACAACAGAATTTCCAGTATGAAACAGGCTGAAAGAGCAGGAAGAAATGTTCTTTGTATAATAATGGGAAGTTTGGAATATAAAAGTTTATATATTTAATTTATCTATTGGAGAACTGGTGTACAGGAGGAACACTTTCTTACTGTGTTGCTGTTTTCCATCATGTGTTATCCTAAGAGTTGGGGTTTTTAAAAATCTGTTTCACCAGGGGAAAATAAAAGCATCCCTAATGTTCTTCCTCTAGTCAGTTTGCTTTGCTGAAAGCTCTCTGGGAATTAGTACAGTTCTCCAGGAAGCCCGAAGACTGTACTGTCTGTCCACACCATGGTCTCCTCAGTCCCCTCCATGCCAGCCCCTCTCCCCCACACCCAGCAGGTATGCTACACCTCCCTTTGCCAGTCATCCCGCCATGGATGGGGAGCCTGCTCGGTGCCCTGGCAAATCTGTTTACACTAAGGAGATGCCCACAGGGACAGGGAGGCCAAACCAGCTAGGGCGGGAGGCTCCCAAACCCTCAGTCATTCTCCAGCAGAGACCTTTGCTCTCGGCCGGGTTTGAAACGATGTTCAACCTCGCCACATCAATGTCTCAATAAAAGACACTATAGATAGTTATGGACAATACACTCCAAGAATACTGGGCTTATGGGTGGGTTGGGTTGTTTTGTTTTCGAGTCATGTCTTTATCCCCATATAATGGAGAATGTGCCACTTGGCTAATAATGTGTTTTCAAAATTACAAGTTCAGTGATGACAGGAAAGAGGGCTAAACTGATCCCACAGAGGCTGGTAGAAAAGGTGAATCACACTCAAGCACCAGCGGGTTAAAACCCTGAAAGGGTGGCCCTGACAATTCGGACTATAGGTTTTACAGCATGCCACTTGTGCAATAGGAGGTCTTAGGACTGAAACTTTCAAGAACAAGAGGGGGTGAAAGAAGGAGACGTTTACTGCTCAAATGCCATGCATTTCACTGCTTGCCACTGAACTTGTATTTGAATGACTTAGTCATGCTTAATATAATTGGGCAACTTTTTTAGCACTTTGGAAAGAGTCATCAATCTTTCTGGTAAATTATAAAAGTTTTCTGAGTGAGAAAAGGTGTGTTTGGAGTTTGTTTGACTTTTTATATTATTATTGTTATTAATAAAGAAAAAAAATCTACAGCATTTTTCAGACTCCACCCTAGAAAATATGTACCCCTGAATTTGGTTTGCAGTTTGATACTCAGGGAAGGATGTATTCCATAGATATCCTTTCCGTGTAAAACACTAACATCTTTGAGAAATTCACCTACCAACTAACTTCAATTGTTGTCACTATGCATTCTTCAATGAAAACTAGCTTATTTTTCCATATAGTAATGCAGTTAGGGTTCTCAGCACTTTCTTTCTTCTATCCTTTTTTTAACTCTTCATATTATGTTCAGATGATCATACTGTCAAGGTTTGTGTACATTACTGAAAATTTGTATTGTATAAAGCTTTTTGCATTACAAGGCTGTACAGGGTCATTTTGACAGTAACTGGTATATTCCTTTGCATCTTATGTTGCATTGCCAATTTCTAGTGTATCCAGTTTGAAAGTATAATATACTCTAATTAAAAAAACAAGTTGGCTATACTCTTGTTTCTTTTTCTTTTTGCGTTTGCCATCCTTGACTGCTTGTTAGTCTCAGGGTTTTGTCTGTCTTGCTTTGTTCCGTTTTTTACTTCTCAGTGTATTTTAATCAGATTTCAGAAGTGTCCACTCCTAGTTTTAACTGTCACAAAATTCAAGTGTTGAACAGTGATGGTTATAATGCAAACTGTTATTATGTACATCTTTAATGGCCATTAAGGTTAAGAGCATATCCATCATTCAGGACAGTGGCAGGCCAGCTCCTTCCTGAAATTACTTAGTGACATTTGAAAGTGTTTGCCAACCCTATCCTCTCCTGCTTAACATCATTTCATTGACCCCATAGCCAAAGGGGGGAAAACAGATGAATAATTCCATTTATCTTAATGAAGTTGGGCAACTATGAGATTTTAATGAGTGGAAAAATTGTATGTTTTGCAAACTAAATAATAATCTATCCAAATGCAAGTAATAATAGTTCACCATTCAAGAGAAGGTACCAGAGAAAGAAACTGAGACCAAAGACAGAGAGAGAAAGAAATGAAAAACACGCTAAGTTCAAACAATTTTTTAAAATCCATTTTGTTCTATCTATTTGAGACCTTTCCATGAATCTATGATGGTTGACAAAAATATATAAAGCAGCAGAAGAGACTGTTTTGCCTGGTTTGTAATTTGCATGCTTATAAATATAATGTCCTTTGCTTATTTCAAGCAATTGTGAACCACTTCACTCTAACATTTAAAAAGATCAAATTTACTTTTTAAAAAATGAGATAATGTAGGAGAAGCCACTTTGAAAATGGCCAGTCACTAATTAGACACTATTTTCTCTTTTATTTTTTCATCCAACAGCTATTTTTTAGGTGATTGAGTCAAATACGTTAATTTGATTCAAATACTAATTTGGTTTTGAGGTGGCCGGTGTTGAAATAAGCCAGACTTCTTTGATTTTTGCTAGTGCTACAGGCAGATGTGGCTTCTCATTTTGTGTACACATTTTTTTTTTTCCTTAAACTCCACAGCTACCTTACATTTTCCCTGAAGTTGAGAATAGCCAGCAATACAAAGAAAATAATCATCAGTTTAGTAATCATTTCCCCAGAAATGGGCCTTCAGTGACTTGGAGAAATGGTCTGGAAACAGAACTGTTCGTGACAGAACAGATCACACCCTCTCCCATCTTGACTTCTCTGGAAAACGGTGTGTGGACCCCAGCATCTGCAAGCCAGTCATGAGGCCTTTGTTTGAATTGTAATCCAAGCACGATTAGATATTTCTCCTACTGTCATGCTACATAAATAGTGTTTAAGCTAAGACTCAAAGCCATGTTTTCTATAATGCGTCCACTGCTGATGGATTGTTTGGGAGCCACCAACAAACCGTGCCTGACCATTTAACAGAGCTGCCGCACTGGTCACGGGAGCAAGGAGAAATAGCAAGCCGTGGTGAGCACGTATTTCCCCTTATCCACAGTCAGAAGCACCACGGTAGAACCCCTGCCTGCCAAAGGTCATGTGGGACTTGTGAACAATTTGAAGGGGAAGACACATCTCATTAGTCACCTCCATGCTTTCAGTCTGTGGGGACGAAGGAGAGCCAAGAGGTGCTTAGTGAGAGATGGAAGCGGATAGCAGCTGAGTGATTTCATCAGTGCTTCCAGAAGACAGAGAATATAGAACTGGAACCCTTCCCAGCAGCAGCTTAGAACCTGTGAGCAAAATCACAAGATAAAAGGGGTCCCTTGGAGATTTAGGATTCATTCTGAGGAGCCATCCATCACAGATATTCAAGATACTCCAGCCAATATTCTTGCTTACATCATTCCCTCAGAATAGAAGAGTCCCACACAAAATGGGGTTTATTTTGGGAATAACTACAATTAACTAAGCAGGCAAATGCCTGTAAAACAGGCCCCAGGGTAAGTGAAGTACAGTGACTCCCAGAAATTGGGGCACTCCGTTTTTCCCTGTGCAACATCTGAAGGGTGTCAGGTTATTTATTAATCAAGGCCTCTTCTTCTTTATGAAGTAGTAGAGCTTCTGTTCATAATTCTTTCTTTGTAGTTGAATCTGTAAAACAGGAAAATGCAGATCCTGCTCACATTAATAGGAGGTGCAAAAAGTAAAAGAAAAACCAGTTGCTGTATCCCCCTGGAATTCCTTTCTCGCACAGCTAAGTATTAGTTCATTCGTTCTTGGTTTTCAGTAGAATTCTAAACCTGGAGCAGAGAATCTACTTCAATTCACACTTCAAAATCATTTCCCCTTACACAGTTCCCTACAGGTGGTTTTTCACCCTGTATAGTGAGAAAATTTGGATTACTTGGAGTCAGACCACCTGAGTTACAAACCTGGCTCAGACACAAACTAGGGGTGTGATTATGACATACCATTAAGCATCTTCTGAAAAGAACCGCTGAACTGAATGATCTCTAAGGCCCCTTCCCACTCTAATATAACATATAATCAACTACGATTCTACAACTTGCTGTAAACAAGAAGAAGTCAGCCTTTTGAAAGAGAGATGGTTGCAAGGCAGAATCCTTGTAAGGCAGTTACAGCAAAAATGGCACCTCAACATTTTCAAGCCACAACAGGCTCAGTGAAGGGAAAAAAATGACTAAAAATATTTTTCTGTTCTGCTCACTTCACAGGTAGGGAGATCTAAAGTTTATCTGTTTTTTGTTTGTTTGTTTGTTTTTGAGACAGAGTCTCAATTCTGTTGCCCAGGCTGGAGTACAGTGGCATGATCTCACCTCACTGCAACCTGCAACTCCCAGGTTCAAGCAATTCTCCTGCCTCAGCCTCCTGAGTAGCTGGGATTACAGGTGCATGCCACCATACCCAGTTAATTTTTATATTTTTTAGTAGACACACAGTTTCACCATGTTGGCCAGGCCAGTCTTGAACTCCTGACCTCAAGTGATACTCCTGCCTCAGCCTCCCAAAGTGCTGGGATTACAGGCATGAGCCACCGTACCCGGCTTACAGTTTTCCTCATCTGGTTAAAGCCAAATCTCCATGCTTGGATTGCCTGCAGTCATCTTGAGGGTGGCTTAAACATATTTTACTGAACTGTTTGATCTGCTTCGATGAGTTAGGGGTTTGCCAGATGGATGGAGAGGCTTTGCCCTGCCCACTTTCGTCTCTCCAACTTTCTCCCTCCATTTCTCATCCCAATTGCTATCGGCATCCTCAAAGTCACTAGTGCCACTGTGACCACTGAGCTCTGACAACCACTTTTCAGATGTTTTCTGTAGAAGAGTAAATGGTTTCTTATAGAAAGCAAAATGAAACATTTTATTGAGTTTTAGCATAATGAAAGAATACACTAAATATTGAGGTGGCAAAGAAACCCTGGGCAGGAAGCAAGAGCTAATTGGTGAAGCTGAGAGGAGATCCTTTCAATGACATCTGACCCGAGCTGGTTGCTACAGCAAAAGGTAGAATAAGGTGAGTCTGTGAGGTAAGGAACAAGTGGTATCCAATACAATGATCATATTTGGTGTGAATGTTGCCATGTCTTTAGCCTCTAGGTCAATGTTGGTTACCCACCCATCCTGCTGGGTTAGCTCAAAGCACTTCTCCTGGCCCCCTACTCCTGAGAAAGACTGATGGTCTTGGGCAGAGCCAAGAACAGCATTGCGTCCTGATGCTAAGAAATGGCGGAGTTGGCACATTAAGAGGCAGGCAAAGGCTTCTCATTCATGTAGCAGGGTCTCTTTACAGTCCTCCCTTATTGAGGGTGGTTTTTTTTTATTTCTCTGACGGGATGTAGCTCTTCTAGGACTTTTTAGGGAGAAGCCACTGGAGAGGGTTGTGTGCTGCCTTCCACCATAGCCTCCTTGACCTAGGAAAGCCACATGAGAGCCAAAACAGGGCTGAGAGGGGTAAGTTACCACCCAGGCCTCTGCAGGCAGCCTCAAGCCCAAGCAAAAGCCATCCCAGTGGCTCTCCTAGGTCCGAACTCACCATGAAAGGAGTTGTGAGCCCTACTCCAACTAGGAATAAAAAGATTACATTTGTCTGGCATCTCCTTTGTGCATATAACTCCCCCAGGAACATGGGACTGGATAAGGAGTAGCTGCACTCATAACAGATAATTGAAAATTAAAATATTCAGTATAGGGGTTTTCTGTTTCTTACCGTCTTTGACACACAACTAGCAGTTGTATTACTATGGAAGATTGGGATAAAGATGGACTGATGGATAGGATGGCCACATGGATACAGAGAATGTGTATATAAAGAATGCATAGGTACATACATAATGAAGATAGAAACACAATAAATATGTATGTGTGGGACCACCCAGAAGGAAAGTCCTCAATTTTATTATTCTAGGATTCATATTAAAAGACAATATTTTTCAAGGGTGGAGCAAGCTGGTCGAATAGAAGCATTCACCAATCATCCTCTTTTTCCCCCACCAGAAACACCAAATTTAACAACTATCTACATACACATACACACACACACACACACACACACACACACACAAACCTTCATAAGGACCAAAAATCAAGTGAGCAATCACAGCACCTGGTTTTAACTTCATATTACTGAAAAAGGCACTGAAGAGGGTAGAAAAGACAGTCTTAAATTGCGAACACCATCTCTCCGCCAACCCCCAGCAGTGGCCACATGGCACGCAGGATCTATGTACTTGGGGGAGGGAGAGCACAGTGATTGTGGGACCCTGCGTTGACCTCAGTGCTGTCTTCTTACAGTGGAAAACAAACCTAGGCTGAACTCAGCTGATGCCCACTCATGCTGGCAGCATTTAGAACAGCCCTAGCCAGAGGGGAATTGCCTATCCAAGTGGTCAGAACTTGAGTTCAGGCAAGACCCACCACTGTGGGCTAAAGCACTCTGGAGTCCTAAATAAACTCAAAAGGCAGCTTAGGTCACAAGAATGACAAGTCTTAGTGCTGTGCTGGACAAGAAGCCAGTGAACTTAGAGGGTATATGACCTACTGAGATACGGGCCAGGGCAGCTAA